AAATGGTATTTTTTATTTATATTATGTGCAAGAAACTTTTTGGACTATGATTTTGAACGGAAATAGTGTGTTAAAATTGCGTAAAGTTTGAAAGCTAATATCGAGAAAAAGTCGAACTTATTTTTGCAGAGAGAAAGGTGCATAGTTTTCATAATATCTTTGCTTGTGATCTCCGAGATCTGTGAGCGGTGTGACGTCATGAGAAGGGAAATCGTAGCTTCAGCTCTAAGAGAGGAATGAACCAGCCCTGCCCTGGGTGACAATAGAGTGCACTGGTCACATGACTGATCGGTATCGGGTTGCCATTAGCAACCAGAAGCAGATGCTCTCCCCTCTCGGAATCCTTGCGAAAAATTTATTATCGATTAAATTTATTATTTCTTGGGTATTTTCGACTAACTTGTTAATGAATCTATTGTTAAACCTTTAAAAACCATTGTATTGAATAAGACAAAAAATAATGCACATGCTTTGTGATTAGTTTCTGTTTTTCTTATATAGTTTTAATAGTTAGTTGATTGAAAATAAAACTTCGATAGTATATAATTAATAAAAAAATGTAAGAAATGCGAATAAAATTTTAGTTTGATTATTTCTTTATTCTCTTCAATTCAAAGTACAGAATATGAAGTTAAAGTAAACAAATAATAAATTGTTATTATTTTATTCTTAAACAGTGTTAAACAACCGAGTTACACGCAAAATCGACTATAAAAGAAGAAAAAAAAAGTACAATTCTCATAAAAATTTTTAAAATAATTTTTCATATATTTGGTATCATTAATTGTTTTTGTTTCTTTATTTTTGTATATTTCTCTAAATTGGAAATTAAATGTTTGTTTTAAAATCTATCCAGAACTCAGAAAGTATTATGCTTAATGAAATTTATTGCTCAATTAAATTATTTAAAAATAAGAGAAAAATAAAAATTTACTCCGTACAATTTTTATTGCTTTGGTACCATAATTTTATTTATTTATTTTTTTTACGAAATAAATCGTTAAAATTTTAGCAATGGAATAATATTACACCATCAATTCAGTTTTCATGTATCGTTGACTAATGACCGTAAATTTGCATTAGTTAAACATAAAACAAATCACCTCTACTCACCTAAATCAATTGAGCTGATAAGAAAAGATTACATAGTTAGCTAAATATCACTTGAGTTCTTTTATTTACAGTTACTATTTCATAAAACTTGTAATAATTACTTATATTGGTTCCAAAATTACATTAAATAATAACAAAAACTGAACTTACTTAAATATACTATTAATAGAAAGCAACTACTGATGAGGGGGCAGTCTTAAATACTTGCTACCACAATAAAATAAGTGTATGTCCCCCATATTAGATATAATAAGCTTTATATATATCACAGTTGGGCAAAAATATAATTGATTACATTTTTCAATTACAGTAATCCGTTACTTGTAATCATGATTACAAGATAACATGATTTTGATTTCCCCTGTAATCGTGATTACAACCATCAATTACAGTAATCAATTAATCAATTACTTATAATCGTGATTTCAACTTTATTTACAGTTGTAAACCTGATTAATATATAATTGATTACATTTTTCAATTACAGTAATCAATTACTTGTAATAATGATTACAAGGTAGCATGATTTTCCCATTAATCGTGTAGTATTTGTCATTTCGTTGAGGTTAACAGGCAATGAGGTTGCTATTTAATACTTCACATTTTTTGCTATTGATTCCTGAGAAATTTTTTTTGAAAATTCCTGATTAGGAATATTTCATTGAATTTCCTCAAAACTGAAAAATAAAAGATTGCAAATTTGATGTAAGTGATGCGGAATTGTCTAAAGCTGGGTCTCCACCTGGAGAAACGGCAAAGAAAATCTCGCTTAACGAGTAGACAACATTCATTTTCCGTGATGCCATGTTGTCATTACTTTCAGTTTTGTGCCAATTGCTGAGCTCCATAGCCAATCAAAATCGATGCTAGTTCCAACTCCCGATTTGAGTACAGTATATGAACCAAGTAATACCATCGAGCAAGCAAAAGTTTTTTTTCTCTATTTTTTAATGAAAATGAGAATTTTCGATGGCGCTTCACAATCAAAACTGAAAAATAAAACAAAAGAAAGTGAGATCAGATGACAGCTTCTGTTTCACACGATTGGTCTTACGAGCAAGTGCGACAAAAGAAACTTTGTTGTTACCAGAAACCGGTACGAAAGCCCATGGTAGCAGATTGAAAGCAATATAAATTCAGATTTCGATATTTGTTGTCGTTGCGTTCGGTGGAGGGTAATCAAGAAAATCATTGTAACAAATGACGAAAAAAAAAAATTGTTTCTTAGTGAATTTCCGTCCCTTTCTTCTAGCAGAGGGTTCAACCGCAGAGTCGACAGACATATTAGGACATAATAATGTGCTATTTATTCAAAATCATTGTAAATGATATTAAAACATTTTTAATTTATCTTTTCTACCAGTAAAATAATAGAAAATTAATACTAAGGATTATATTAGTAGATCAATTGAGTACCAAGGTAATATTTTAGCACACTTCCTGACTTCCAGTACAGAGGGTATAAGCGATGAGCTAAGATCCTCTTCTTCATCACAGAAGTAGTTATTCCGCACTATCTCAATACAATGCGTCTAATTTAGCGCTTTTTTTCTCTTCCAATTTTACTAATTCGTTCTTTCGTTGTATTTTATAGTTAGCGTAAGAAGCTTGTTCCGAATTCACAACCTTAGGTGATTCAGAAAAGCATTCGTACAGAATCAGGATGTAATTAAATGAAAAACGGTAGCTTAAATGTAGTCGTTGCTAATTTGACAGACTTACTTTTTTTTTTAACTTTAATTATTGTTAGTTTAATCATATATATAATCAATGTTAGTTCGAAGCATAACTAGTTTTATTTTGAACAAAGTAATGGTGAATTAAATAAATCAAACAATTATAACTCCGCCCACAATTAAACTGCTAAAGAATAACTTTGATTGCCAGTTTTATCTTTTTACCATGGATGATACGGCTTTATGCTGGCACGTATTTGTGACAGTCGGCCCGAAAGGGTTAAGGGGAAATCTTTTTCAGAGTGGCAGTTCCGTCGACGTCTAAATGTATGATTGCAGTTTGATTCAAAGCTATCCCCCACACCACTATACATAAATGATTCAAATGCTGGATTGATTTAGAAGATTGCTTTTAAAATGTTGGAGAAAGTAACAAAAATTCTGAAATATTTAGTTTTTAATTGTCTACCTGAAAATAAAACATATGTCAAAAAGCGCTGTAGTTAGTTTCCCACAGCATGCAATCGATTCATTTGAGTATAGGCTATTATCTATGCGTAATATGCTATACATAAAGGTTACTATCTATGCGTATAGATTGTTTTCTCCGGCCATACAGTCTGCAGTTGTCTGTTACTATGAGAATAAGAAAGAGCGCATATTAGAGAGGGGAGCTTTTGGTATTTTCTCACTGAACCCTGCTAAACCTCTCCTGAATGCCTACCCCCACACCCCTACTTGTAATAGTCCAACCTCGTCACCATAGTCACTGACGTAGCTTCAGATGACTACTGGGGAAAGGGGTGTTTACATAGACTACAACATTCCGTATGAGGAAGGTTTCCAAAATATAAAATAGCTTTTTTAAGCTCTGCCTATTCTTCTATATTAAAACTATGACCTTTTATCATACATCAGTTCACCTTTCATCATACATCAGGACTGATCGTTAAGACACGCTTCCCAGCAGATCACCGAAGTCAAGCATCACTGGATGCGGCCAGTGTGCGGGTGGGTGACCACTTGGATCAGTCTGCGTAGGGACCGAGGGTGTGCGGTATGGGTCCTCGTTAAACTGTTCTACCGCAAAGTGCTCGACTTCGCGTGCAGGTCGTCGGGCTACAGAAGCGGGGGTGCCATCCCCTCTGCAGAGGATAAAAATTGTGATGGCATGTCTTCGGATCATCCTCAGGGATGTTTCCCAGACCGTCGCCAATAGTCCATTGTGCAGCTCTAGTGCGACGTAAATTAACAAAAACAACAACAACAGTCTTAGAGAAGGGGAATTTCCGATGGATGTGCTTTAACACTAGTTCAGGTGATTGGACACTGTCCGCTCGTAACGCTGTATCGATTATCTTATCCTCTCGTTTCGTACAGCTCAACTCTTACTAAATTAGAAATTACCTCATCATGAGTTCATACCTGCCAACTTTTACACATTTGGCGTAAAATTTTATTTCTATATTTAAAGTGATAGTAAATATATACTATTTTTTTCTTTTATAATCTAAATTTTTAAATGATTTTCATCACCACTATTCTTAAAAAAATTAAGCATATATATTAATATGCGTTACTGTCATGGTACATGGTATGCGCATCCCGAGTATTATCTAATATTGAAATAGTTCTTCTACCAGTATTTTCTCTTTTTCCCTGCGTGAACGTGTTAAATTAAAAATGAAATCTAATACTAGAGCAAGGTTCAAACAGTGCTTAAAAAATTTAAAAAGTGGTGATATTCTATAAAGAATTTACTAATATCTTTTCTTTCGCTTTTCATTTTAAGTTAAGTAATCTATACTCAGATTTGGAACTCGAAATTTTTGATTGGAAATATTAAGCATAGGATGTAAACTTATTAAAATGCAATTTATTTTCTTAGTTTTTGTAAACTTTTTAAAATTTAAAAAAATCTTTTGCACCCTGATATTAAAGTATTTTCAACCGTAAAATGGAATTAAATCGAATGTTTTGTTTTGCTTAAAACTATTTCATCATAATATCCTATTAAAATTTATTGCAGTCTTTCTATTTTATACTGAAATGAGTGTGATACGTGCATTTATTTTACTTCAACTTAATTCATAATAAAATTTCTAAACAGCAAAAGCATTTGAAATCGATTAACCAATCAGTCAACGACTTTATCTTTGCGAACTGACAGATAGCTTGCTTGTAATTTCGTTAGCAAATTCCACGTGAGTTGTTCTGTGAATCCTTGACCAAGGTCAAGTTAATCTGTCAACCGTATTTCAAGGTCCGTCCAAAGGTTGTGCAGTTGTCGGTAAATAAGATCTGTTAGTTTCACTTTCGCTTTGTAAGAATATATAGAGTTCTGAAGCATTGTTCAAACATAGCTGTGATCGTTTTTTGCTGCATCAGATTTGCCGATATTATTTATGAAGAGGTTGTAGTGTTTTCTAACTTTCTATAAAATGAGAACATTTCTAGTTGCTCTGTGGATGGTGATTCTCGTCGCTGAAGTAGTGCTTCCAAATGTGTATAGTATTGGTGAGAATATTGTTTATTTGTTCTTTAATTAGGGTTTTAAATTTCTGGAAACGAGAGGGGTTAAAAAACTTTTATATCGAACTTGCTCAGGAAGATTAAAATCATGACTGATTTTGTTATGACTCATAACTGCAAATATAAAGAATAAATACTATAAGATAAAAATACAAAGAAAATAAGAAAAGGAAAAAGATTTTACATAAGAGAAAAATTAATATGAATAAATTGTTAAAATTTTAAAAAAATTAGAAGACAAACCAACGAAAAGGTATAATTTTATCATCAGCTCACACGATAAAATCCTATAAAAATCTACATTATTATTTTTAAATTATAACTATTTTTTAAAATTTTAATTACTTTTATGATCTGTTTGTAATATTATGGTACCAAGGCAATTCATGGCAAATTCCACGCTTTTTCAATTTTTTAAATAATAATTAAGTATCACGATGTACTTTTTCTATACTAGCTACGTATACTTTAGGTAACTAAAAGTTCTTGAAATTTTAAGAAACAAGTTCCAATACAGAAATATGCAACTTTTTTTGGTGGCTCTTAAGAAAAAGAAATTCTGCTGTTTCGGTGTAGTTTCTGAACTCATTTAAGCTGTCAAATACTAGGATATATTTCAAACGCATCAAAGTTGGTATCAAGTTTTATAATATATAATATTGTATATTAACCCTGATTTAATGCTAAAATTTTTGCGTTTGACCATTTTACTTGGAGGTCACCAAGTATTCTAGAGTGCGTGTATGAACAGTGGATTTTGATTTGTTGGTTCTTAGTGGTAGTACGGTTCTTAGTGGTAGTGGTTGGTTCTTAGTACGGTTTTATTTAAACCGCAGAATGGACCTCAGGTTCAAAGGGTTAATCTTTCGGGATTTCGAACTATAGCGAGTGAATGCCAATAGTTTTAACACGTTGAATGCTATGTAGGTCACCGGTGACCGGCAAGCCTAGATCATTAAAAACACATAATTCGAGTAAATTTTTAATTTTTTAATATTATTATAGGTGCAGAAATGGTTTGATAAAATTAATGCAATATAGAAGACACAAAATTAGCTTTATTTATATACACAGATATGCCAACTTGCTCCAGACAGCGAATAAATATTTTCAAGTGGTAGTTTATTAATTGTGATTCTTGGTTTAATAAATTCAATTTAGTAGATTTTTATCCACCACTATTTCTAAACAATTCGTAGGCTTACATAATTTACCACTTATTTAAGTTATGTTACTCATTCCAGTGAGTTCTATTTTTATTTTCAAGACTCACAAGTTAAATTCACGGAACTTTACACAGCAGACTTTTACTTATGTCAAATTAAATCACATTAAAAGTTATTTTCTGATAATATAGCCAATTTATATATATATATTTATCAACTTATGGACGTTAAATTCTTTTGCAAATTCTATTCTTTTTAATGAGCAACATTTCGCTGATAAAATATATTAACACGTTGAGCGCCGCGTCAGCCGTCGGTTGCTGACACTAGACTTTCCATTTAGGCAGCGGCAGCCATCGGTGGCTGACACTGAAATTACATTTAGGCTGCGCCAATCACCGGTGGCTGACACTGAAATTACATTTAGGCTGCGTCTGCCACCGCTTGCTGGCACTGACCTTTCACATAGACCGCGAAAAACAGCTGGCTGACAGCGTATAACATGATATAGAACTATAAAATCTACACTTTCTTATGGAATTGTAGAAAATGTATTCAAAATTTACTTAATTATTGTGATTCTTGGTTTAATAAATTCAATTTAGTAGATTTTTATCCACCACTATTTTTAAACAATTCGTAGGCTTATATTATTCACCACTTTTGTTTGATATGTTATGATAAACCATCCAAAAAAGCAACAAAATCCGTCTAATATTTGCAAATTTAGTTTGTAGTTATTTACCGTGGCCAGATGGGTAAGTCATGTAAAATTAGCGTGGCGCTCAACGTGTTAAATGCATTTTCTTCAAATATGTTATTTTATCATGTATCAAGGTATGATTTATCTATATTCATCAATTATATCTTTCATTTTTCAAAAATCAATTACTGTACATATCAAATCATGTTTTATTTTTAGATTAAGTCTGCAATTAATATTAATCTAATGTTACGTAAAAACGTCAATTTGTCATATTGAATTTTTCCATAGTTTTGTTATTTCTCAAGCAAACGGTTTGATTTATGGCTACCACAATGTTTCCCAAATCAATGCATTTTACCTTACTGTATGTAATTTAAAGATGAATAGGATAGGGGCCGCTTCGCGGCCCAATTTCCCAGTTTATTTAAATAAAGCAAGCAAACAGATATGTCATCCTCAGATGCCCAGTTCCACTACAACAAACGAACAGATATGTTAAGCTAAACCTTTTAAAAAACAAGCAAAATCTGTCAAATTTGCAAATTTAGTTTGTAGTTATTTATCGTTTGGCCAGACGGGCAAGTCATGAAAAATTCGCGTGCCTTTCAACGTGTTAAATAATTCCTCAAACTTCTGTCGAGTTTCTTAATTTATTTATATTCATTAACTTAAATTTTAAAAAAAATTTACGACCAATGATTGATGTACTGATTACATAGATACCGAATCATTTATGTTTGTTGGTAATCACGAATGAATGATTTCTTTGAAAAACAGAGGGGAAACGAAGTAGTTTTGATACAACTTTTTAAACTTTTGTACGCATTGCAAGAATTTCAAAAAAGTATTTTTACGTGACCCGCTTGCAATGCGTTAAAAAGTAATAAATATTTTTGATTTTTACTATGGAAGCTCAAAAATTTAGACTTGCGAGGAATACTTGCTGGTTTATGTTACATTTTCTATAAATTGAGAAAAAAAAATTAGAATTCGTAAATGTACACTTAAAAAATGTGAAATTACAACTTTCTTTAAACTTATTGTTAAATTTGGTTAAAAGTTCAACATAAGGTTTTGATATCAGTGCACCACTAAAAAGTAATCATGTTATTAGTATGAATTTGTGACATCATTTTCAGCTTTCATGTGGCTTATTAATGCTACCATTTACTTTTTGCGTTTTAGATTCTATGTTCCTTCAAAGAGAACTGTTTCAGCCCTTCTTATTAGATAAAGAATTATTTATGTATCAAAACCTATTCTTCGTTTCTTTTTTTGAAACAGCTCCTGGCTATTGTCAATACAATGGAATGTTACATAAGCAAGATGAAAAATGGTATCCCGAACCCTGTACATCATGTGAATGCCTTCCTGGAGACAATTACCAATGTAGCAGGCAATCTTGTCCTTACATGGAATGCAAAACTGAGAAGTACGTTGTCTAAGGAGAATGCTGTCCCAGATGTAGAGGTTAGTAGAGTACATTTTGTTGTCTTGGGTGAATAAGTTTTTTTAATTGGAAACATCCAGTAACTATCTTAAATGATATGTTTGTATTTGGTAATGGCAAGTATTAGTCCTATTAACATAAATCTTTAATTTTGATTATTTTATAGTGTCCACCTTGTTAAAAATTTGTTAAATATTAACCTCGCGTGGTTTGACCATTGAACCTATTTGGGTTACTGTGTTGCAATTCTATTTTGAACCACCACATTTCGTTAATGATCATGTTCCCCTTAATACCCTTAGACTCTATTTTCGGCCTTAATTCGTTTATTTGTTGTTTACTTTGAAATCGATAGTTTTTTATTTTCCATTCAATGACTGAAAATAATCAATATCCAGATACAATTTCGTTTTATTTCAATACATTCTATCATTATTGTGGAACTCCCATCCCAAAACCAATAGCATTCTTTAACTCATTATTTCAATCATCCCACTACATTAAATAAATATTATTTTTCAGCAATTTATGTATTTATTTAAAAAAAAAATATTTTTAAAATGTTACAGTAATATTATAATCAGAGGAGAAGGGGCTAGTGAGTAGAAGTTTTAACCATATGTGAAAATTTTTTTTCCAATGAAATTTGCACAAGTTTCATATCAGGGGACCAAAGTAGACACGTTTTCAAATTAATTATTAATATTAAGATACAAGTGAAATAAAAATGAACATAATTTTAGTTTAAAAATACAGTCTTAAAAAAATAATTTTAACTAATTTTATTTTAATTAATATTAAAGCCTGTTGAATGCGGAACGAACAATTTCTTTCATTTTACCGTAAGATTTTTCTTGAGTATTATAAATGGTAGTAAGCGTTGCTGTTTATTTGGTTCATGATATAATAAATTTGATTTACAATGATTTAGGTCAGTGCTCTCCAATCTTTTTATCGCCGCGGACCGGTCAACGCTTGATAATTTTACTACAGCCCGGTGAGGAAAACGGGACGTTGATTGTTTATATTTTAAATTGTTTTTTGATTTAATAATTTTTGATGTAACTGAATTTAAACATGCATTCAAAATTAAATACAATTGCGTGCGGTTTGAGGCGGTCTCTCAGCTCCCGGTTAATATCGCGCCCATGGAAAGTACTACAAACCTGAAAGAAATACACCACAGTAAATAAAATGGAAATAATTTAATGTTCCTTGGGCGGCCCGGGACTATTTGTTCCATTCACCGGTACCGGTTCGCGGCCCGGGTTAGGGTGAACACTGATTTAGGCAACTCGATATACAGAGTGAACAGAAAAAGTGCCCAAAAAAGAAATTGTAATAACTTGAAAGCTATTGTAAATAATTCGTTAAAATTTTGGGAATGAATAATACGGACGACCGAATTTGCTTTACGCACTCTTAATTTTTAAATAATCTGGTAAAACATACTTAATCATACATTTTTTGTCGTTTTATTTTATCTTACCATCCTGTATTAACAAATTAAGTAAATAAACAAGATCTGATTATAGCATGTGAAGTTTCACAAATTTTGCTTATCTCAATTGCTATTACACTAGTACTTGAAATTTTGAGAGAATCTACAGCTTCTACATCAATTGTTTTGTAAATATCTTATCAGGGTTCATACAGTTCTCAGAAAAGTTTAATGTAAGTAGCTAAATTGAGATAAACTTTCATCATTTGTAATCGCCTCTTGAGATTGTCTAAAATGGCAATTAAAAAGATGCTTTTTGTAGTCCGTGGTTAGAGATTCAGACAGAAAGTAAGTGTTTATCAACAAAAAACAGACAAATACATAATTAAAAAACAACGCCATCTGGCGGTATTAAGAAGAATAGGACTTCATAGCAATCCTTCCCTGGGAATGACAACACTTTTAAACCATAAAAACTTTTTTTCCTGATTTGCTAATTTGAAAATAAGTGTTTTATTATGCAACTAATTACATTATTAAGAGTATTTTAAAATACGACTCTTTCAAAATAGGATTTCTCAGGAACTATTCGACTGATTTCGCTAAAATGTTATATTTTACGATGTAAAATTACATTTTTTAAAATGATGCAAAGCATTGTACACCTTACAATTCAAACTTTTTTCTTCTATTATTAGATAAATTAGCAAAAATAATGAATGTTTTCAAAATTTTATATTTTGCATAAAATGGTTTTCGTATGAACAAATTTTATAATTGTGTGCGAAATATTTGTCATTATCATAAATATTTGCATTTATTATAATATATTATTTGTGTATTTACTAATAAATATTTGTCATCATAATGTCTCTGTTATGTATTTAATTACCAAAATCTTCTCTTGAAATAGGTTTTAATGAAACGGGTGAAGATTGTAACTTCTCTGGGCATTTACTTAAAGATGGTGAAGAAATCAATCCAGATTCCTGTACCCCTGTTAAATGTGTAAGTGGAGTTGTACGGCGGGATAGAAAGCCCTGTAAATATATGGAATGCAAAACTGAAACATACATGCTTCCTGGAGATTGTTGCCCCAGATGTAGAGGTAAGGAGGGAAAATATAAATAATTAGAAATCATTATTAGGTCACATGTCACAAAAAAGGCACAATGCATAAATAATTAGAAGGCAGCTAGAAATTGTTTAAAAAATTGTGGTTTGTTCCTGATACCTGAATTTTGCCCCCGCCCCCAAACTGAGCTTTAACCGCTATCTCAAATACTTAGATACTCCATCTTTACCCAGTACTAATATCTAGTTTGCCCCCTCGAATGAAGGGAGGTTTAACTACTTATCTTGAATTTACTTATTTTTTTATATTATATTCGTCGTTGAACAGCCGACTCAATTTTTGTGTTCACGACTACTAATGATCAACTCCGTAGCCTTGTAATTTTGAACCAATTCTGAAGACAAAGTAACTCCTGGATCAGTACCACCAGAAGTATTGATTTGTTATGGGAACATGGAGGACTTTGCGACTCGACAGATTTAATGTGCATCACTCACCATTTACTACACAGAGAGTCTTCGACCGACGGGGATAAAACCCATGAACTGTTGGACATGGCCCTAGTGCCTTAGCAACCAGGCTATCCCGGCCTCATCTTATAGATATAGTTTTGACCCGGTCATGATTTGAACACGCGACTTTCTGATCTTGAATTTACTGAGGAGAAAAGGGTTGACAAGGGAAAAGATCACCATCGTATGTAACCAAGTAAGAAAAATGTTCCCTGCGTACTTTTTCACGCTGAATCAGATGGAAAAAAATCAGTTAGATAAGACTAATAGTTTAGAAGTTATAAGTGATTTATTTAATAAGTATGAAAGATAAAAAAGCACAATATTTCCCTGAATCTATTTACGCGTCCTAAACTCTTACCTGAACATATGAAGTATTTTTTCCATATATTTGTTTTGCTCTGCGTTGACGGAAACCGAAACAAATTAGCTTGGATTTATGATTCAAAAGTTATTTAGGATTTCATATAAAGTACGGTTTTGGACTTGTTTAAACTCTTGACTGATTGATCTGAACTGACTCTGATTTGGATCGACCCCGATTTTGGACTTGTTTGTTTTATTTACAAGTAAAGTAATATAACTAATAATAAAAAGCAAACTGATGAAGATATACATCAAATAGATCAAGATGCTTGATGAAGCGTTTACGCTATTCTCAGTAGATTATAGAAAGACAAAATTATAATTAACTCTGAGAATTTTCAACATTAATTTTAAATCTGTCCTACTCTATGGGTCTGAGCACTGCCATGTGATGGCACTGCCATAAAAATAATATGAAAACTTCAAGTATTTATTAACAGTTTTAGAAGAATCTAACGTATCAAATACTTCATGAAATTTGTAGAGCAGAAATTTTTAGAAAAGCAAAACAGAAACCTACTGAACTGGAAATTAAAAACATTAATGGACATGAATTGGTCATGTTCTACGTAAAATTGAAAAATTTAAAGTAAATCCAGCCTTTGATTGGTCCCCTCAGGGTAATAGAAAAAGAGGACGGTATTTGTTGATTTCTGGCATGCAAACTTGGCCTGTGTGTCAGCTTTATTACTTTTTACTTTATTTAAAAACAACTGGGCACCTGGGCCGCGCAGCGGCCCCTATCCCATTCATCATGAAATTACAATAATGAGTTAAAAACATTTTGAATATAAGCAGTCGTTGTGGTAGCTTTACAATCATATTACCATGATTAGAGAAAATACAAACTTGAACAGAGATATTTACAGTAATTGCCATGAAAAAATGTACAGAAAATATAACCTAGATTAGAAAAAATTACAACTTGAACAGAGATATTTGCATTAATTGCCTTATGTGTCAGCTTTATCATTACCCTCATATCCTTTGTAGGTTTTAATTCAGTGGAATTTAGTAGTATTGTTGTAAATATTTTTTTATCATTTCAACAAGGTAATCATTCGTGTTTGTGTTACTAAAGGCTTGAAGATTCTGTTCAGTTTAGTTTGGAAGATACATTATTTATTATAAAGCTTATCCAAATGGTCATTGAGTGGCTCACAGATCTAATATTTAGGAAAAAATATTGTGAAGAAAAGCTACGATGCTAATTTAGAAGAAATCAAAAATAAGAAATGGAGGTATTCAATTAATAAAATTCCAAACTCCCCTAGATCCACTGCAGTGGCGGCGTTCCGTCTGGAGACTGGACATGACTGCCTTGCTAAACATCTGTACAGAATTGGTATATTTGGCAGTCCTATGTGCAACCAGAACTTTGAGATGGACAAAGATCATTTGCTCAGTTGTTCTTCATTAAATGAAGAAGATTTATTCAGTCGATATTGGTGAGCTAGGGAGTTGATGCAATTCCAGCGACTGATTCTCATTCATGTTTAAGTGGTTCACGTTTTGCAAGTATGCATGGGATTTATGATGTAAATGATGTAAAGTCAAGTGCTTTTGCAATAAAAAATATTTAAGAAGCTTCTCATAAAGTTCGCTAGAGTGAAACTACAATAATTGTTAATTTAATGATTAAATATCCCATGTAGTAATCACCTTTTGCATTTGTGACACAATGGTTACATTTTGTAAACATCATTGTTGATATAATGATGAAATGTCCCCTGTAGTAATCACCTTTTGCATTTATGATTCAATGGTTACATTTTGTAAACATCATTGTTAATTTAATGATGAAATATCTCATGTAGTAATCACCTTTTGCATTTGTGACTCAATGGTTACATTTTGTAAATATCATTGTTAATTTAATGATGAAATGTCCCTTGTAATAGATACCTTTAGCTTTTGAGACTCAATGTCGACTGTTAAAATGAAATTAGTTTATTTCTTCCGATTTGTTTTAAATTCAATCTTGTCTCTCTCTCTCTCTTTCATTCAAAATAGGTCATGATGAAAAAAGTTGTAATATTGATGGGGAGCTATTTCAGAACGGTGAAGAATGGAAACCCAATTCATGTGCCTCATGTATGTGTTCCAATGGACTTGAATTTTGTAGAAAAACACGGAGGAGATGTAGCAACACATGGTTTAGCATGAACATTTCAAAAAGAAAAATAAGTAAATATTTATTCTTTTTATAGTTTAGTATTAGTTGTGCCGACAAATTCAGTCTGGATGCTGGATATTGGGGTTATCTCGGCGTTTGACGCGAAGCGCCACTAACCGATTCATCGATTCTGTTTTGTCGTATTCTAGGAGGTCCTAAATATCTATGAAGTTGTAGTATGTTGTAACGACAAATCCAGTCCTTAAAGAAGTAAATCTTTAGTTTTGAAGTGAAAATCATCTTTGGAATGGGGCGATCCCCTTGAGTAGAGTTTTATGATAAAGTTAATAGTATTTTGATAGTATGCAGTCTGAGCATAAAAAGGCGGTAATTGGGCTGAAATTCGAATTATCACGAATTATATTAATATCGAACAACTTATTGAAATCTGATGTGGTGCATGTTTTTGCGTCGCTATAAAATTTTGTGGTCAATTTAGCTATAAAGCAATTGATATCATCAATGTTTAAGTCTTTTCTGAGTAATCTATTGCTAATCGCCCTTGGGGCGCCAGTCATTGTGCGTAAAAATTTACCTTCAGTTGTAGATAGCTTCTTTTTTAGGTTGTTGCTTATAGTAGTGAGGGCTGGTCAAGCATACGCAAGAATTGGTCGAATCGCTTGTATATAGATAGTTCTTTTATTTCCTAGATTAAGTTTTGAATTCTTATGCAGGAGGACTTTGAGCGCAAAAAACCCTCCTCTGGATCTTTTGATTATGTCGTTTAAGTGAGTACTCCAGCTCAGATTATATGAGATTGTGACGCCGAGGTATTTAACGTGTTTCACTGGTTTGATCTCAGTATTAAAGAGATAGGAGGGGGGGGCATAGGGATGCCCCAGTCGACTAAAAATGCAAAAAGTAGTGACTAGTAAAAAGCAAAAATCTATGAAGAAAGATTCCGTTTAGCAAATTTCTTTATTTTTATTACTGAAAATGGAATCAAAGACTGTTTTTGGTTTAGCTATGAATAATTTCCAATGTAAAGTCATAGTTGCATTTTCGATGAAATACTTAAAATAGATTAAATAAACTACCTGAGTTACTGAGAAAAAAACTACCTGAGTTTCTACCATGAATTGCCAACTTCTGGGCTGCCACGAGCGACTAAATACATGAATTGGGGTGACAAATAAAATTCAAAATTCTATTAAAATAGATTAAAATTTCCAATGTTTCAGAGAATATTTTTAGCTTGCTATAAAAACTATTGGTAAAGAATGTTTTTGTTTTAGAATGAATATTTTAAACTGAAAAAAGTGGTAATAAATAAATAAAAATGAATTGAGTTTCTACCACTTTTTAAAATTTTTAGTCGTCTGCTGCATTCTTGCAGCTTAAAATTGATGCGGATGAATATTTCCGAATGGTAGTGCTTCAATGTATGATTCTTTTTTTAGTAAATTCAATTTATAGGTGTGTTACTCACTACGATTTCTAAATAATTCAAAGACTTACGTTATATGCCACAGTGGAACTGCTAAGCCTTGTTGAGTCTTATAAAGTTGACAAAATTAACTGAAAACCTGCAAATTTTTATAGTTCTTTATTGTTTTTTTAAAAAATATTTTGTCAGGTCCGAAGCATTTGGCATCTCTGCATTTCTTAAATTTTTTAGTTGACAGTGGCATCCTTTTTGAATGCTATAAAGCGCTTTTATTTATTTATTTTTTAGCGAAAGTTAGGGTATTAGATACCTTTAGGTGTATATATTAGATGTACCACTTAGCTCTATTAGGACTGAAAGTCTATACATACCATGACGGAAAAGAGCAAAAAGTGGTACGGAAGGTATTTCATTCTAGTATTTTTTCGAGAAAAAATAAATTTCTGTAACTACCGAGATTTTTTTTAGAATTAAAGCATATATATATAAAACTGCTTCTTCCGCGTATTAATGTTTTTCTTTATTGTAAACAATATTTAGTGATCATTTTATTATCCCTAATTACGTTTTATTAGCGCTTTATTGTTATTAATTAATTGCTAGTGGGCTGCACCCCCTGCTCGCTAACGCTGGCCAGCCCCCGAAAATTGTTACGCAATCTTATATGGTTTGCTTCGCAAACCAAGCTCTCTTCGCTCGCTACTAACTTCTAAGAATTCAAAACAATCATTCAAATCCGTATAAAAACTTTAAAAAAACAACAAAACATCTTTTTTGTAAATACGAAGTCATTAAAATAAATTTGAATTCAAATAAATGTTAACCTATTCAATAAATGTTATCGTTAAACCTATTAGAAATGTGCTATAGTATAATTCGTGATATAATTTAAAAATCGTCAAATAAATTCGTAATATATAAATTCGTGAAAAAAGCGCTTTCGACAAATTACTAAAATAGAGATCTATCGACAAAGACTACTTACTTCTGTCTAGCTTAATAGTATGAGATTGTCGCAGCTGATGCTCTCTGGTTATTTCAGTTTCCGTTTTTAAAAGCGCTATATGTTGAGCCACCTCAACTAGATTTGGCATGGGACATTTTTAGCGGCAATCATTGGTCGATTCGCCGTGTAAGAGAAATAGTAACGGAAACAAAACAAAGCAAACGTTGCCACCAGCGGAAAAGAAATACAGCCAAAAGTTGGGAGCCACCTAAGAGAATTATATATATTAGATTTTCTAATGTATTATTCAATTGTTTATTTTATATAATTTTTATGCTCGCGTAAATTCTCTTACCCCCATTTTCCCCCCACTGTTTAACCAATTTTGACGAATGCATTGTGGGCCAGAAGACTATGATCTTTGGCTAAAAGTAAAAAATTAATTTTTCAACTAAAATATGTGTAGGCCGTTTTAATATATCTTAAATTAAGTATTCATAATCATTCCAAACATTATAATTTACTTTTTGGTCCGACGAGAGTACAATTTAATGAAAAATATGTTAAAAAAATTGTTTTAAATGTAACTTTTAAATTTTCATTTCAGAAATATATATAGAAATTTCACCTTACTGTTACATTTTTATCAGAGTGATTAGTGTTAAATTATAGTACAATTTTTCAATTTGTTGGATTAGTTAATACTCTTGACAAACTTATAGTTTATATCTTATCATTTGACATTTTACAATGTTTGAATGACTTTCGAAAAGTTCCTAAAGGTTCCTCGAGGTAAATAGATAACTTTTTTTTGTCATCTTCTTTGATGTTTCTTCTTTCGAAAAAACCGGCCCCATTTCGCCCGTATTGCAAAGGTGGACTGAATATACAGAAAAACAAAAATTATGTTTTTTTACTTCATGTTTTCGCGTTATTTTGTTATATTACTTCGGAAACATAATTTGCTTTTCATTTTTAACATAAAATTACGAAAATTATTACATTTTCATTGCTATATTTAATTATTTTAACGTACTATATTATTTTTTTATTTTTGCTCGTCATAATTCATCCGCCATTTCCCCCTCCCCCCGTATATTTAGTGTATTTCAACTATGAATTCAATTTACCTGCACATAAAAACCCCTTAATACAAATTTTGAAACAAACTTTATCGAAATACTAATTTTGGCCACGAAACCTTGGATACTAGCCCACTGCAGATTGCCCTACGGACTAGGTACTCTGAAAAATAATGTTTAACCCTTCAATGGGCCCTTTATTTTTGGTAAAGGTAAATTAAAGTAATTTTGGAATTGAAATTGTTTTAAGAACAGTAATTGATATAAAAAAAAAACTCATTTAGTTTATAAAAATGCCTTTTTTTGGTGGTAAATATATTTAACATGACCTATTAGGAACTTACTGACTTTTATTTTTCTTTATTTATAAAATAAATTCCTTAAATGTTACAAACTTCAAAAGGAATTATGTATTTTATAACTTTTATACGTTTTTTAAAAAGTGACAAATGGTTACCAATTTTATTCAAACTCACTTCAAGAAAGCTGAAGTTATTGAAAAATGGAAACCTAAATTAAAAGTGGAAAAACGTGGTGGTAAGTATACTTACCACGGCCTTCAAAAGGGTTAAATTCAATTTATTTATTAAACTTTGCTGAGTTAAAAACTTCACATTTTTTTTCAATAATTAATTATAATATTATGCTGAACTTACTTTTCTCATGAAAACGGAATTTTTGAATTTCTAGTGGACTACGAAGTCGAAAAGGGGAGCGCTTGCTTTATCTTTCCACTTATGCTTCATAGAGATCCTAAAACATTTCCAGATCCAGAAAAATTTGACCCAGCAAGGTTTTTTCCTGAGAATGTAGCAGGAAGACATCCATATGCCTATGTGCCTTTCTCAGCCGGGCCAAGGAA